CATGAAATTTTTGGAATATTCATTAAGAAATCAAAGACATGTCAAATATGTCTTGCTTAAAGTCCTACGTTGGAGAAATACGCCGCTAAGGCCCTTGAATCACGTAGAATAAAGCGGGGGAAGAATCAAAGGATAAATAGAATTGTAGTCGCATCATTTTATCAATAAAATTGTGTTTTTTCATATTTATATTGTGATTATAATTTATTTTTGTATCACAAATAATTTGTTTCAAACAGTACACAAACAAATTGAGCATATGGCTATTTTAGCTTTGAGTTAAAGTGGTTGTAGGACTGAAGCATGGAGTAAAAGAATGCCAGAAATGTGGAAATGAAGCAATTAATAATAAGCGGCCAATACATGTAGGTGACGCATAAACAGCACTAACGTACGTTTACCTATAAAATGACTCTTTAAGTGTGAGAGTAAAACTATATATAGGCAGAGCATGTGCAAACATGTTAATTGAGATACGACTGTGTTGTTTGAGACAAGACAATCAGTGGTTTGCCTGATGGGGGTGCGGGTCACAGCCTTCAGTTTGGGTTGTGACATGTAGTATGCCTCTACAAGTCATCTACTCACTTTCTAGAAGATCTTTTGATCAGAAGAGAAGACAATTCATCGTTAATCACAAATACTGTTTCTAATGAAGTGTTAGGGTACAAAGTATATTTCTTATGTTTAGTTTGAAGGTCCAAGAATCAAGTTTTGAGGGATGTGAACAACTGACTTTGTGATTCCTTATATATAGCTCTTGAAATTTAGTGCATAGGAAGCAATGGGAGAAAGTAGACTAATACAAGTAAGAACAATTAGAAAGAAATTCAAGCAATTTACTCTGAATTTCATTGAACATGAAATAAAAAATTAATTACATGATATCTGCAAACNTATATATATATATATATATATATATGCTTCAAGATCATCAGAAGCTAACAGCCCATAATCTTCATCATTTGATCATTCTGAGTGGTTTATACCTCAAATTATTTATAATGAGATCCACTCATTAGCTTTTGATGATCTTCAAGCAGAAACCGTCTTTGTTATCAGCTTTCGATTTATCAGCAATTCTAAAGTTAGACATATTGAGCTGAACTAATGCTGCTCAGATTAGACTTGAACTTTTGATCAACTTTCAGCTCCAACTTTAGACTTTTCCATCAGCTTTCGGTTTATTTTCGCTGTTGTAGAAGATGTGGTAACAGAGTTTGTGCCTTTAGAAGGAGCTGAAGAAGGAGAAGGCAATTTCTTGGGCAGCATTTGTTCCCAAGTAGAAGCCTTAGGAGGCAATCTTGATCCTTCTGAAACAACAACGCAAAAAAGCAGAACAAAAATCAGACAATGCCTACAAGAACCTGACATTTTGAAAATTCAACAAGATTTTAATTTTCTCAGAGACAAAGACTGTTTCAACACTTTAAAAGACTTGAGCTTTACATTGGGTTTTTGATGGTTTGTGTAAGGAGACATGTTGAGGAATGTAAGAAGGCTGCCAACTAGTTTGTTAGAGTAAAGTTGAGTCAATGGCAGACAACATTGAATTTAAGAATTGTGCAATGTTTCTGCAGCTAATGTTGTTGCTCTAGTTTTCTAATACTAGTATGAAAAAAAGGACATAAGATAATTTAAAGAGGAAGTTATGGAATGTTGTTTGCTGCTGTGGTCCCAGAAATGTTCAAGATTAGTGTTTTATATTAGGCGATAGGGAGGAAACAAATCTTTATTGTCAGCCTGTTTAAACTAAAAAAAATCAGAAATGCCACTTAGATAATAAGTGAATAATCAAATGATTATTCAAACAACATTCAAGACATTAATTTGCTTTGATAACCAAAAAGGCAGTTTTGTGCACAAAAAATAACCAAAAAGGGCAGCTCGGTACATAAAGTATCCTACATTCAAACAGGATCCGGGAAAGAGCCGCACTGTAAGGGCTGTGATGTAGACAACCTACTCTAATACTAGCATTAGTAATTACTTCCACGACTCGAACCTGTGACTTATAAGTCATACGGAGAAAACTTTACAATATATTCCAAGACTCTCATTATTTATACTCCAACTCAAAAATAACAAAAAGAAAAAAAAAATCAATGACAAAGCATGTGCTAATAGAAAAAATAGTTAGAACTGTTATAAGCTCAGCCACTAAAAATTAGTGCAGATTCTTGAATTTCAATCATAAAAACATGAGGCGTGTGCATTTTAATTATTCATAGGATAGCTAAGAAGACAGACAATCCTTATAAGAAAAAGACCAGCATTTTTTAAATAAATTAAACCCCAAAAGAAGCATATGCAACACTTTTGTACACTTTGCAGCCAACAAAGGGAATTATTAAACAAGCATCAAAGATAATGACAGTCGGTAGTGTACGTGCGGTTCAATCATACTTCAAACAGAAAAAGTGTTCTTTTTTTTTTCGAGCAACCCTTTGTTTCTGCATAAGGCAGTTGTATTTTTTGTATAAATAAAAATTCTAACTCTTTGATTTCATCATAGGACAGCTCCTTTTTGTTGAAGCATTATAATACTTGTATACTTGATTCCAAGAACTTGCTCCTTTGTGTTGAACAATAGTTCTCTATTTTAATGACCAGGCATTAGGGTAGTGTGTGTTTTTTTTGTAAAAGCTCTTACTTTTGCAGTGTCATGTCTAGGATTACAAATTTTTTATCATATTTCATCACCATAAATGTGAAATCCAATCATCTTTTAATCACTGCTAATTTATAGAGTTGTGGTTCTCTATCATCTTGTTTCATTTCTCCAATGCTGGAGAAATATATTTCCGTAATAAATTGGCAGCCATAACTTCCAACTAACTATCTTATTTATAAAATAAAAAAATAAAAACTAAATGGGGGCCTATACAAAGAATCTTTTGGTCTAGCTAGCCTTCAAACAATGGATGGCTGGTCATAGAGTATTAGAGTGGGGTGGAGTTTTGGGATATTCTTGGAATTTTTTTTCAGAAAAGAATCCCTTAGAGCAAGAAACATGAAGTTATCGTCTCAAGTACAGCAGCTGAACCAGGAATTCTGATAAAGGAATTCAAAAAATGCAAGAGTGAGGATACAAACTAAAGTAATTTTGAATTATCATTTGCCGCCATTTCACCCTTTAAAAACGTAAAGAAATTCAACAATTTATACTCGCTAACAAATAATTAATTGTACTAATCCACATATTCTTCTCTCGCATAAACCCATACTAGTTGAAATGAAAAAACATTGTTATTTGTTGTCTACACAAGCTAAGGAAGAGGTTCTGTTGCCTCAAGATAGAAGTTGAGTAAAATGTGGAAGAAATTAAGGGGGCGGGTAGGATGGAGTTAAATAATTGTGAGGCTTTTTCCGAGACAGTGAGTTGGAAGGAGGTGGAAATTTGCACCATTTCTCAAGTGGTGGGCCAAAATTTAAAGGCAGAATAGTGGTCTAGGCTCATCTACTATAATGGATCATCAAATGAGATATTAATTAAGAAAATAATAATTGCGGCGCCTACACCTTTTTTGTTCTCCCACTCTTTTATGTTATAATAAAGTCCACACCAAAAATCTTATAATTCGAAGTTCGATACAACTTTTTTAGTATTAACCGCAAATTAATATTTGTTTCTTGCATTCGACATTGACTTGAGTTTGAATTTTTCTGCTGATCGAATTATTCTACGCTCTCTTAAGTAAGTTTCTTTGTTGGGAGATTTCTATCTTGGTTCTGATATTTTGCTCCTCTCCTGATCACAGTTCAAAAATCAGTAAAACAGAAATATCACGGCATTTTAGGGCTCTGATATACTGACAATGCCAGTAACATTATCGTTATCTTTTTCAGAGCTCTAGTCTTCAGGAAGAGGGAAAAAGTTTAAGCAATGAGAATATAGATAAATGAATTACTGAAAAATGACTAAATTAGATAAACATTTTCCTATCAAGTAAAACATTTTAGGCATAATGATTTATAATTCATTATCTCTTCCATATTAAAATATATGTTATGATAATCCTCAGAAACAGGCAGCCAAAAGAGTAACTAGAACAATAAGAAACAACAAGATCAAAATATGAAGTTTGAGACCAATTTTTTCATCAATCCCAAAGTCTACCGTCATTTTAACTTATTAACACGTCTCTTTTGTACTGAAAATTAAACTTCTCTATAGTCCAAACGTCAACGTTTGGACTTTGGACGAAAGCATAGGATAAATGAAATAATAATCACATAAAGCATGTTGAAAAATAAATAGATATTAAGTTGATACTAAGGCGGAGAAAAGGTATTATTACATGTTTTCTTATTTTTAGTTCTATTTGAATGGTTTCATTGCTTATTGACAATGCCCTTTTGCTTGGAGCATTGTCCAATGAACCATCAAATACTGGTCTCTGGTGATATTTAACAAATTGATTTTTCCAACAAATGTATGAAAACTGATGTTTGTATTAAATTCTGGGATAGATGAATGCAGATGTTCAAACAAGAAGTAGAAGGGCACATTCCTTTACATTGTAATTTTGACATCTGCAAATAAATAGGATCAAAATTATAGGGAATTATAATTATCTGATGATAGTGCAACCGTTGCATCCTGATTTAGTATTAACACTTCTGCTGTTATAGTTTCAAATCCTTTTTAACAGCTGCTTGCTTGGCTTCAAAGCTTTACAATCTCTTGCCACCCCTCAGAAATATCGGTCATGTTCTTTTTTTTAGCCTAATTTAACTTTCTTTTTATAAAATAGAGCATTACTAATACATCACATTATTACAACAAAAGGACAGCCCAGCCCGGTGCACTAAGCTTCCGCTACGCGTGGGGCCCAGGAAAGGCCAGACCACAAGGATCTATTGTACGCAGTCTTACCCTACATTTCTACAAGAAGCTGTTTTCACGGCTTGAACTCGTGACCTTTTGATCACATGGCAACAATTTTACCAGTTATGTCAAGGCTCCCCCTCACATCACATTATTACAACAACAAAAATGAATTGAAAATCATGTAATATTCTTCTCATCTTTCTTCATTCCATTTATAAATATAAGGAACGCTAGAGACCGGTAACTGACCTGAGTGGATTAAACAATAAATCAAGCATACAGTATTGATCACTATATCGGAATGATTTTTCTTTGAATACTCACTATATTGGAATGATATTCTCTAATAATTTAGTGGTAGTGAGCTAAACTATACCAAAAGCATCATGGGTTATCCAATTTTGGAAATTTATCTTCTGTGCCTATGCAATGGCTGACTTGATTATCTGTTCTTGTTTTGGACGCCAAAATGATTTTTGAACAAATAGCAATCCTTCACCATCCTTTGAGTAAGACATCTTCACTTTCCATTTTGCAGACCTAGCCATATTCTCTATTTCAAGTATAGTTTCAGCATTGTCCCGCACAATCAACTTTCCTTCTGGCCTCAGAATCCTGTCCACTTCTGCAAATACTGGTACTATCTTGCACCTGTTGGCAACAGAATATCACACGTTAACATATCTAAGCGAAAATTTGTCGCTAGCAAGGTAACAGCACGGGTGCAGTAAGATTAACCTTTTCTTAATATCGGAGAAAAGATGATCGGCGTGAAGAAGATCGTAAGATCTGGGATACGTGCTGAAGGATTCACACCAGTCATGGTAAATGCCAAAGAAGCCGCGTTCATATATAATTGGAAGTGTGTCGGGCGAGTCAACTGGAACTACATTCATAACCCAGACTTTCAAGTCTTTCAGTGCTGCAGCAAATCTGTATTATCAAAGATAAGATATTTATCAAGAGCATGAAAAAAGTGGACTCAGTGTAAATGCTGGTAATACATGCACCTAACATTGACTCGAATCAGCCAATCAACTCTAAATTAGTTGGGTCGGCTATATGAATCCTTCTGTATCCATTCCACTCTATTCAAGTTCATCCCTTTCCAATACGAAAATATTCTTCTTTTAAGACCAAAAAAAAATTAGGGGTTCTGTCTAGAGACTAGAGAGGTTATCTAAATCTCACACTATCCCTACATGGATATAAGAATCTAATGAGAATAAAAGGACCCCTAACAATTTTAGGATTTTATGCAAATGTAACATTGATTAAGTTGTATATATGGATCATTTACTTCTATTGTATTATGTTCATAACTAAGCTCATATTGATTCCGAAAGATTATAAGTCGTTTTAGACATTTTTCTTTGAAAAAACACACACACACACGCGGCGCGGGGGGGGATTAATTGAGTTTTGAGTTAGATGTGTTATTTCAAAAGCCTCATCGATGGAAACTTCATCTAGCTATCATCACCAAATCACTCTAAATTTTGCCAAAGCTTCTTTGTGAACTTTATTCCTTTAATCTTCAAAGAAAAGCGGAGATCACAAAAGAAATGAGTAGCTAAGAGATAATGAGGAAAATAGCGACTGATAAAAACTTACCCTCCATAAACAGCTTTCATATCCATGACATTCCTTACTGAAGACCAGTTAATGCCAAGACCATTTAAATACGATTTTGACACAACATGCTTCCAATGATCATAGTCTGCAGCAAAGTCTGCTGGGGCTGCTTTTCCATAGACTCCAACTTGAGAACTTGTCAACCAATAAGGAAGCTTCTCTGACCTCAATGGCCATTTTGACGGCCACCTTGAACCACGTTCAGATGCATCTGCTGGTGCTTTGTGCATACATGCCTCAAGTGTTATATTCCTGAATTGAGAAAATAACGAGTTAGGATTTTTTTTCAGGTCGAGTGTTCAGGAGATGAATAAATGTAGTTTTATCTGTAATAGAAGAGATGACAACAACAACAACAACAAAAAACCCAGTGTAATCCCACATGTGGGTCTGAGGAGGGTAGTATGTACGCAGACCTTACCCCTACCTTGTGAAGGTAGAGAGGTTGTTTCCGAACCTCCCAACAAATATAATTGTATATGGTGCTATTTCCCCTTTCTCTTTTTCAAATCAAAGCAGAAAGTTGAAACCATACTGATAGGTTTAAAGTCAGACCAGTCAAACCATAAGCACTATGATTACAATACAATGTAAGCCTTCTTGATTTTGAATCTTTATACAGCCAAATAACATACTATGTCATTTAGTGGCTAAGCGGACATTAAAATTTCTTGCTGCCTTCTCAACTCAAGGGGAAGAATTGAGTTCGATAACGAAGGAACACAGGATCTTCTCTAGAAATAGCAAACAAGCTTCCTCAAGAACATTGAATTATGAAAAATTCCTAATTTTTGGTCATTGTATTATTTCAGCGTAAAATGGATAAGTTATCTGGTGTGACATTCTAGTTTAAATCGCTTTACACGACAATGAGGTCTTAGTAAGTAATTTAAAATCAAAACCATGCAAATAATGAGGTCTTAGCAAGTCCTTAAATATTACTTTTGGTTGATGCCTTATATAATGTAGAAAAGTAAATTTCCATTCTTTCCTAATAGCATATTTTCTATAGCCTTATAAACTTGTGTCTCCATGTAGACTATTTGGATTTACGATTTTTATACAGCACTATAAAGCCCATGCTTGAGTGAAAAAAAGAAAAGTACCAGGCTGCATCTGGATCATCAGCTTCTTCACACATAGGTGGGTCATTTTGTGTTCTACCCTGATAGCAATCATTTGAAGTTGGCTTTCTGAATATAGCTACACCTACTTCATTTAGCTTATCTTCATTAATTTCCACTAGTTCCCAGCACATTGACTTAGTTAGTTCAGACATAGCTGCAAGACAATCAATCAGAGAGAGAGACATTAGTCTATGACGTTTTTTGCAAATGAGAAACGGCAACTAAGTCGAGCCACAATCACCTTCCCATATTCCAACACTTTCTTCATCCTTCCGATATACTGGTGTAGCAGACCAAAGGAAGTGACCACCGGGCCGTAAGACACGATTCAATTCTAGGAGAAGTTTGCCACCTGCAATAAACTAGGACGTTTACCATCGGCTGACGTTCCAAAATCAAGCAAAACTTGTAAAGAGAGAGAGAGAGAGAGATTCACCTTCAATATGCCACGGAACTCTACAACGTGCACAATGGACAGCATCAAATACTTTACTGGGGAATGGCAGTCTTTTAGTTCCCATAACAGCTGATATAGCAGGGATGCCCCGTTCAAGTGCAAATTGTACTTGGGCTTCATGCTCATCCTTGGGGGCAAGTGACATGGCTAGTACATCTCTTTCAAAGAGGTATCCTCCAAAGCTGGCCACTCCACACCCAACATCCAAAATAACACGTGTTTGTTTGCCCCATGAAATTTGAGGCAAGGACTGCATTGCAACCCATATCAGCAAAAAAGCATAAAATAGGAAGAGGTACATAAATCTTTAGCATGAAATCTGTGGTGATGAATTTCAGCCAATTGACTGATCATTGATATAGAAAACACATTAGTGAAAGGAGGCCGCTCCAAGTTTCTGTAGAGTCTCCAGAAGCTTATTTTCTCAGGTCTAATATGTAGGAACAAATCAAAATCTTGAAAGCACTGTTCAAGTCAACTTGAATCATATGGAACACCAACTAACGGCACCTAACTAGTACCCATGAAAGATCAAAGAATACTTAATTGGGTTACCAGTCTGTGGAAATCAATGTAAAATCAAACTGTCTTATCGTTAATCTTCAAATTGGTATTAATCTTCAAAGAAAGCCCAAACTAACCAATTCGTGATTCATGGAGTGAAAAATTAACATCACGATTACGAATCAATAATTATAGATAGCATGCAGTAGCACAGAAACTTAAGCAAAACTTGCCTTCTGGAGGAAATCAATGTAATGAAGAGCTCCTTGCTTAAACTGAGTACCTCCACCAGGGAAAGTAAGGTACTCTCCAGTAACTTTGACCCAGTTTTGGTGCCCCTTGACCTTGGCTAGCTTTCCATGAGGAACATTAGAGTACCATATCTGTTCAACCATCAAAAGCAAGTTACTTGGCTTATCAAAATTATTAATTAGAAGCAAATGGATATATAAGCGGAAACAAGATATACCTGCTCCCTGCTCCTAGGCCATCCAATTGGCTGCTTGTATCCTGAAGGTAAAGGAACAAGGCAAGTCGAAGCTTCAATAGGACAGTGCCTTTCACGATGTTCATAGTGCGAGGTACTTGGGAGCTTTCTTATAGCTTGCACATTATCCAGGCAAGGAATATAATCTGGTCCAGCATCAGTTTTACATGCCTTCCACTTGAGTGAATCCTGTGACTCATTCTCCTTTTCAGACTCAGCAGCCTGAGTTGACCATGGCCCATTTTGTGTAGTAGTTTCTTTTAAAATCTCTGATTGATCACCAGCTGGGAAAATCTCATTCTCTTCCTCTCCCTTTTTTGACTTTAAGACAATGTTCTCATCCTCTGCTGTTGTCTCGGCACCATCTGGATTTGAGTCTTCACCTCCATTATCTGACTCGCCACTGGTAGAAGTTGAGCCTGTCTCTCTCGAATCTACTTCCTCGCTCTCTAGATTTGAACTCTCGCTGCTAGACTGTGATTCATCACTGGATCCAGAATCCTCTTGATTTTCTTCTCCATTACTTAAATTAGAGTTTTCTCCTTCCCTTTCCTCATTTTGGTAACTATCCAGCCCCTTTTCATCTGAAAACTCCTCCATAGACCTTCCCCTTCTAAACCCCTTCTCTCCCTGGAATGTTGCATCTTCTTCTCTCTTTGCATTGACTGTAAAATCGCCAGAAATGCCTGTATACTGCTCCGATAGTTTCTCGGTAACTTTCAACGTTGAAGATATCTCTGAGTTTACAAGAGGTATACTAAATAATGACATCAGCATCCATATCCCAACTAAAGAAATCCCAAGAGAAGTCACAACATTGACTTTTGAACAGCAATCGGATGATTTCCTGCCACCAAAAGAGCTACTTCCCCCAGCCATAATATTTGATCTTTTCCGTCCCTGGACATTTTGAGAAAAAATAATTGAAATATCAAATGTAGTAGCCTAAAATGTCTGATAAACTAGGTTCGAGAACAGAGAATGGTAAAACCACAACAGAAACAAGCATCAAAAGTCTGTCATTTAAATGCAGGTATGGACAAAATTTACCTACACAACACATCATACATCCCTTAGATATTTCTAGCCTTTTTTTAAATAAAACTAAGGGGAAAAGGCTGCAATTGTTTTTTATCAAGCACATCTAATGAAATACTAGGTGAACACTCAAATACTCATGAGAACTCATGAAAGTATTCATTCGGAAACATCACAGTGAATTCCAAAAAAAATTACAATAACCTGAATTTTGGCCTAGCTCAATTCCAAAAGAAACTCAAAAGCTTTCTATGTCTGAGTTTTCAATACCTAAGCATTCCACATATACACAGAGGCAGATCTAGCCTCTAGGCACGTTCTATGGGTTCAACTGAACCCATTGCTTTCAGCTCAAACTATAATTAGATATGTTACATACAAATTTAAGATGTATACTTGTGATAAGATCAAATTCATTCTGAACCCAGCGACTCTAGAACCTAGGTTCGTCTATAGACCTCATGAAAATAGTAAAAATATGTTTTCATGTCCGTGTCTGGTAAATCTGTAATTACTCTGTCAAACTCCCAACAAAAAAAATATTCCAAGAAAACCACATTTCTAGTCGATAATAGTCCTAAAACAGGATAGAATATCAAAACTATAAAATCCCTTAACAACATAACAAAAATGTCATATTGCAAGATCAATCCCATCTCGAAGTAGCAAACCAAAAACCAATCAAATAGTATCGAACAGAACAAAAGTTAGAGCATTCTACTAACCAACAGAAATAAAAGCTAACCCTTTTACCCAAAAAGAGGAAAATGAAGGGAAAAGGGTACATAAAAGAGGACAGATTCACATTATTATGGGAACAGAAAGAAGGAAAAACTGTACCTTTTAAGATGGGGGTATATAGGAACTTCAATCTTGGCCAAAGCAAATTNAAAACTCTTTTTCTACCAAATTTCTCGTCAGAAATTTTGGGTTTTTTCTTCCTTGCGAGTTTTTGAAGCTCATTTTCTTGTTAAAAGGGTGGAAAGATCAGATCTTGGGTTGGGGGAATTAAGAATCTTGATTTTGTTTTGAGATTTATAAAGGCATTGCAAACAGATATGAAGATGGGTTGCATTCACGCGTATGCAATATTATAATATGATAATTTAAGGAAGAGAAGAGTGTGATGTTGTTACTCATGACCGACAGCCTAGGATTACCATGACATGATAAGCCAGCGCCAAAGGGAAAGGTTGTTAAACAAGATTGATTGTAAAAGAATTTTACGATAAGAGGTAACCTAAAAAACAACTGCAGCTAACTGTTTCTTGTCAATTTATTCATGTTATACTCTCATTATTTCAATTTATATCCCAAAGTTTTTATTGCATTGGAGTTTATATAAAAAAGAAAAATCTTTCAAAACTTAAGTGATAATAAATACGATATGAGTTTTTGGTTGCTGTAAATCATATTATTAAAATAAAAACTTTAAAATTAAATTATTTTTAAATATAACAAAATATCATATATAGTGAGTGCTACATAAAATAAAACGAAAAGTAAATAGTCTCATATATTTTTATGAAGAAAAAGAAAACGACCAAGTTGTTCACTTGTGCAAATTAACTCTTTCCGGACAATAGAGAATGTTCCCCCATCTTTTGCATATTCAGATCTTCCACATTTTGTCTAAGTTTTGAACTATCCAAATAGTGAGGACTATACTCCGTGTTATTTAAGAACAATAACTCAAAATACTTATGTTTACTCGTAAAATAGTATAGTTGAATTTATAGCGTAGTTTATAGAAAAACGAATCGATTTGATCCTAAAATGACAAAATAAATTAAATAAATTGCAAGACCTAGCGTAGAAATCGAGATAAAATAGCATACAACTTGGTTTCGGGAGCAGGACTTCCGAAGGCAGCGATAAGAATATTGTAAGACACAAAATAAAGTATTATTTAGCTTGGAATAATGTGTAGTATAAGTTTGTCAGAAATTTCGTGTCTTACAATGGTTGTTGAAGTCACTATTTATCGCTAAACCTAGGGAACAAGGTCCTAGGATCAAGCTCATCTTAAATGATAATAATGAGGGCCATTGATGAATATACAATGTCAAGCTATGAATGCCAAAATTCTCTGTAACGGATGTGTATTTAATGCTGATGAATATTGTTCATTGAATTTTATCTAGTGGCAAATATTAGTTTGTCCCCGTTGATAATGTTCCCTTCGGGGTCTACTCAATGCTAACCGAAGTTGTTGTCATTGGTCTTGGCTTTCAGTCGCTTTGTCTTTCGTCTGTCCCCGGTTCCACGTGTCACTCTATCATTCGAGTAATTAATGTGAACCGATTTTACCCTATACAGATAGTCCCCCTGCTTTCAGATGGCACATCTTTGTGTCACCAAGAAGTTGGTGAAGATTCCTTTTTTGGCGGGAATTTTTCTGACGCTTGATTAGACGCACGTCTATTCGCATTTAATACCCCAAACACATGTTACTCCATCATTTAGCAATATTTCGCCAGTTCTCGAGGTAATCATGGCCACGATTTTAGCCGCCTATTCCTTTACTTATACGCCTCATTCTTCTTCTTTTACACTTAACAGTTTTACAACTCTCTCAACTTCCTTGCATTCAACTATTTCCTGCTTTCACCCTTCTTTAGTCTTTTTCTTCAAAGAACTCTTATCACCTTCTTCTAATCATGGCTTCTTCCACTAACTATTTCGAGAACTCCGATTTTCTTTTCGGTGGGGGTCCGAAGGAGAACAAAGATAAAGAAATAAACGTTGATGTTGACCCCCCTACGGTGAGTACCATCATCCACAAAAAACTCAACACAACCAAGGCTTTGAATAAAAGTTTCCTTCTTCAGGTTCTCGCACTTGGGTTGTTGGCATATACCCTTCTTCCATCCATCCTTCTAGTATTCCTGTTGTGACAGAGGATTGTGATGCCATGGTGCAGTGAGTAACCTTCTCTAAAAAGCGCTTCATGTACGTTTATACGTACCCATTTACTCTGGGTGTGTTTTCTTTGAGCGGGGGAATTGACCCCATGATTTTGGAGTTGTGCCACAAATACAAGGTTTGCCTGGCACAGGTGGGCCCTTCTGTCTGGCGAACTATGGCCTGTCTATGGCGGCTGTGCCAGGAGACAAAGGAGGAGCTCATCTTGGCTCTCAAGATTAATCTCTTCTCCCCCAAGATTTTCCGTGGGAGAGTAATAAATTTCAGCAAACGTGGCCACCATGCTTTGCTCACCAGCATGAATGACGACAATGACCGTGGATGGATGGAGCAGTTTGTCGTTGTTGCCACCGGGATACCATCCCGGCTACAACTCCATCTTTCCTTGAGTCCTGGACTCATACACGTAAATTCAAAGTCTGTTTTTTTTTTCTTCTCGATTTTTTATGGCAAAGTTTCTAATTTAGGTTTTTGTTTCACATGCCAACTTCATTGCTTCTGAGGGCCTCCAAAAGTTGATCCTCAATAAAGAAAAGCTGAAGTCCGAGCGGGATCAGTTGTTGGCCAAGAGGGACCAAATTGTTGCTCGCATCTCGGTGCTGAAAGCACAAGCTGCTGAAGCTGGTGAGTTAGAGGCTCGGCTACAACAGAGTGAGCAGGAAGTGATGGCCCTTATCCAAGAAACCTCTCTGTTAAATGTACAGTTTCAAGAAGCCAAGGCTAAATGGTCTGAGGTTCAAAATGTTGTGCTTGTTGCTGTTGAGCGCGAGGCTGCCTCCACTAAGCTAGTAAGCAATTTGGAGGCAGCCTTGAATTCCAAGATTGCAGAGGCTATTGCTGTCGAGAAAAAGCGTGCCTAGATGGAGGATAGGTATAAGAGGATCATGGAACATAATAAGGTTCACATAACCACTATCCGTGATCTTGATCCTAGCCTTAGAGCCGCGAGATCCAAGCGGGATGACCTTTCGGTCGAGGTTGAGAGGCTTAAATTAGAACTTCAGCCTCGAGCGGATTCCTTTATTATTGAAAAAATGTATTTTATGTATAGCATGAGGAGAAAAAACTTGGAAGAGACTAAAGCGGGCATCATTGATATTGACAATGAAATCGCTAAGGCCCAAAAGCTGGATTCAACGGCTCGAAGATGCCTCCCAGCTCAGCCTGATGCAACTGAATCTTCCGGTTCCGGTTCTGAGTTCTCGAGAATCGAGGAGGAATTTGAAGAGAATAATGGTAAAGACCAAGATCCCAAGCCGGCGACAGATCCGCCTACTTCTCCTGGGGCGCAGATGCTTATCTTCCCCCGAGTTCAGGGGACGATATAGCTTCGTTTTTTGCTTTCTTTTTCTTTGTTGTTTTTTCGTATTTTTGTACTTGTGCTGCTTGGCACGTTTGATAAATAAAAGTTCTTTTTGTTTAAGCATTATGCAAAGTTTACTTTTTTGCGTCAAATTATGCAAGGCTTCAGGTGCATTTTTCTCCGATAGCATTTGGGTTCCGGACATAAACTTTTCCGGAACCAACCCTTTACTGTGAGGGTTTCATAAGAGAGGACCCTCTTATATTTATGGTTCTCTTGAAGAGGAAGAGGTCGTCTCCTGTTCATTTCGGCACTAGCATTTGCAGTACTTGATTAACTTTCAAAAGATAAAATCAGTTAATCGTTTAAACAAGAAACAAGATAAAAATAAAAGGACTTTATTTTCTTCCTTCTATCTTCAAAAGTACAAAAGCATTAGTTTTGCTGAAAAAGAAATTGCCATTACTTGTGGCTAATTTGTACAACTTGTTTTTACGGGGCTGGTTGTGCAGTCCCCGATCCCGATGAGGCATATTTGTTACTGGACTTCATAGTCCTGGTTTATGTGGCAATTGGGTTGTCATATTCTCATATCATTCCCCCCACCCCCACCCCAAGTGTTCGAATGCGAAGAATGCGAATTAGAACACTGGAAGTCTTGACCTTTGAGGATTCCACTAGTGAATGGTTGGATAATCTTTGGTCCGATAGCAAGCTTCGTTTCCCGTTAGGAACTTTCCTATCGAGCCAAAGACTATTTAACCATCCCGTAGTGGCTTCTCATTTTTATGCCTTTTCATTTAAAGGTCTTATTTCTGCTGATGACATTTCCTTTATAATATGCTTTCCATTGCTGCTTTGTTAAAAATCTTGCCAGAAAAACCCAACTGAGACAAAAACTGGAAATTTCCTTGTTGCTGATGACATTTCCTTCATAGTATGCTTTCCGGTGCTCATCAGCAATAATACCTTTTGAGGTGGGTCACATTTCAGTTGCTTGGAAATTTTACTCTGTCTTGGTTTTCCAATTCATATAATCCTTTTCCGGTGACAGCTGAAACCTGGTAAGGGTCTTCCTACGTTGGACCCATTTTCCTTGCGTTGAGCTCTCGAGTGTTTTGAGTCACTTTTCTTAAAACCAAGTCTCCCACTTTGAAATAATGGAGATTTGCTCTTCGATTTAGTATCTTTCCATTCTTTGTTTCTGGGCCATCATTCTTATGTGCGCCAAGTCCTTGCATTCGTCAAGCAACTCCAATTTGACTAGCAATGCTTCATTGTTTATTTCTTCGTCTGCCCGGAAGTACCTCAAGGTAGGTTCTCCTACTTCCATCGGTATCAGAGTTTCTGCTCTGTATACGAGAGAGAAAGGTGTATCTCCTGTGCTTGACTTGGTCGTTGTTTGGTATGCCCACAACACTCCCGGTAATTCTTCGGGCCTCTTGCCTTTGGTTGCTTCTAATCTCTTTTTGAGGTTTTGAATAATCACCTTATTTGTCGATTCCGCTTGGCCATTTGTGCTTAGATGGTATGGTCAAGATGTGATTCTTTTGATTTTCTAGTCTTCAAGGAATTTTGTGACCTTTGCGCCTATGAACTGTGGCCCGTTGTCATGATCAATCTCTTTCGATATTCCAAACTAGAAACTTATGTTCTCCTACAAGAAATCGACCACTTTGCGCTCGCCGATTTTCTAGTAAGGACCTGTTTCAACCCACTTAGAGAAGTAATCAGTTAAAATAAAATAAAACTTACCTTATCAGGAGCCGGTGGCAGCGGACCGACTATGTCCATCCCCCATTTCATGAATGACCATGGGGATAATATTGAGTGTAGTAGCTCTGTCGGTTGGTGCACTAACGGCGCATGGTGCTGACCCTTATCTCATTTTTGAACGAATTCCTTGGAGTCTTGTTCCATTTGGGGCCTGTAGTATC